AGCTCAAATGCAACTCCACTCAAAAAACTCCAGACTTTCCAACTTGTACTCAAATAATCCCATGTATCTCATGGAGACTTGGTGTAGGGGGGCATCTTTGATAACAAGCATTTAGTTCTCTTCAACTTTGTGTTTCCCCCAACTACAGGGCCCACCCCAAGGCCCAGAGTGAAACATCCAGTCCGGGAAGAGTATATGCACAACAAAAAGAGTACACTCACCTAGTTTAAAAACACCCAAGATGCTTTGCCCTGAATTTTAAGCAGCACATGTGACCTGGTCCATTCTGGTTTCAAGTTCAAAGGCATCAGGCCGGTCCTGTGGGTTAGCAGCTAACATATCTTTCAAGAGCTGCTTGATCCCCTCAGACATGGAAGTCCTGCGTTTCTGGGGGATGTGCAACTCCATCTTTGGGTTTTCTAGCAGCGCCTCACCAACAGGGACGATCTCAGTCCCCTGTTTGATATAGGTCCCCAGGAGCTCCTTCTTGGTCTCAGAGTCAATGAAAGTGATTCTTTCTATCATTGCCCAGATGATAATGCCCAGGGCAAAGATGTCAGCCTTGGCTGTGTAGTGTCCCTCCCAGACTTCAGGGGCCATGTAGAAGTCTGAGCCGCAGGCTGAGGACAGCCAGTATTTATTCACATTCACATTTTTGTTGTCTTGATTGCCCTCTTTGCCTCGAGGGGCCAGCCCAGCACAGACCTTGCTTAGTCCAAAATCTGCCACCTTGAGGATGGGGGTGCCAGACCGCTCAGTGATAAGGATGTTGTCTGGCTTTAGGTCCCTGTGCACGATGTGGTTTTTGTGCAGGAAGGCAATGGCACTCGTGAGCTGTAGCATGAAGCTTTTGTTGGTGGCTGGGTCCGGCCTCCGGGACAGGACGTACTGATTCAGGTCTCCACCTTCACAGAACTCCATGACAAACCAGAGATAACAGGGCTCCTCAGCATAACCCAGGATCCTTTCTCCTAAATCAAAGGAAGACCGGAAAGAGCTTGAGTGAGATGGGCACATTTATACCACCTTTAGACTAAAGGAATGCAGTGTATTAAAGTAAGAGCGACAGTGGTGACAATCGCTCCAATCGAAAAGGACCAGAACAACTGGCACAAGCCAACTCTATACAAGCTGGCCCGTCTCTACTCACACAGGATGAGTCAAGGGACAAGACGTGGTATAACACAGGCTGCAGGGACTGGCATCAAGCACCTGGGTTTAGGGTTAAGAGTGCCTGGGAAGAAGTCTGGTTTATTGCTGACTGGGTGGATAGCCAGGAGGCAACTTAGTTCACCTTTTCAAGTTTCTATTTCTGCTTCTTCACCTGTAAATGGCCATGTGCAACAAAAAGAGTACACTCACAGAGTGCCTGCACTGGCACTTGACAGTCAACTTAATATTTATCACTACCCAAGGAGGTAAGAGGAAACAGTCCCATCTTATAAAATGAAGAACCTGAGGTTCACAGAGACTTAAGAGTTAAGAGACTCAAATTCATTTGGCTACAAAGCCATTGTATTCCATCACTGTATCCAAACAGGCAGAATCATACCACCCATACCTCCCATGGCTGATGAGACAGGTAAAGCATGAGAAGATTGTCAAATGTCTGTTACTCCATGCTAGGCAAATGACCTTCCTCCCTTCTTTCCTGACTTGTATAATGATTCTTGTCAATGCATCTAGAATTGCACTATGATTGTTTATTCCAGAGACACACTCCAATTCATCAGTGTTTTCTCCTAGCCCATCTTACGCCTAGCACAGTGAGTACGCCTATCCCTATAAAGTTTAGTTTCAAGGAGATAACTAAAAGGTAAGCTGTTCATCTGTATCACGGTCATTTTATGAACAGTGAAGGGTAGGTAGGAATTGCTAGATCTAAAAAGATCAGAAGGAACAAGACTTAAGTTACATAAAGGACAGGGAGAAAAAAAGAAGGGAATTCTAGACAGAGATGAAATGGATAACAGAACAAAGGAACAAATGAACTAGAGGTATAAACAGGAAAACTACTGGGAACAAATGTATAAGGTGGAATCAAGTTGTGCTGGCTTGAAACTCCAGCTGTATCTTTCCAATAGTCTTTGACATTCCAGGAAAGCTGGTAATTGGCATCTCCCAAACAAATCTCAATATTCTTTACAAAGCAATTCAAGGCCCACTAAGCCCTTAAGTGAAGTTATTTGATGACTGCCAGTGCCCAAGAAGCTAAGCATAAGTAGACAGATGTCTTATCTAGCTGATGAGGCTGGGCCTGCCCTGGGTAGTTACAGGGATCATCATGACTGAGCCAGGGCCTGAAGACAAGTTCTGATCCCCATTATGGTGCCTCCATTCTACCAAAACGAGAGCTGCACCTCCTCATACGACCTCTCCTGGAGGGTTCCTTTTATCAGTCATTTACTCTAATATAAAGAGAACCAGTGATCTGGGACACCCCAAAAGGCCCTGAAATTACCAAGGCACACAGTCTACTGAAGCCAGTGGTTTGGGAGTTCTAGGTTAAAGCAAGAAGATGGACAAGGCAAAAGCCTTAGGTTTCTGACCACGATCTGACAGGCCTCACTTCCCCTGTAATTATATAATTTGTTTCTATTACTCACAATCAAAGTAATACAGGTAGAACCAGTTTAGGGCAGATGGGTTTCTTTCCTTTTTTTTTTTTTTAAATCAGTTGTTTCCCATCTCATAATCCTCTTTCTAGGTCATCAGCTCTAGTGGGCTGAGGCTCTTTATCTCAAAACACTACAAAATGAGCAGTGATCTGAATCCCAAATCAATCTAGACTCCAGAGTAAAGACCCATAAACAGAAGAGTAAGAAATGTCTGCTGGTGGTAGAGCCAGAAAGGAAATGATTAAAAAACCATCAAATCCCTTTTGTAAAGGCCACATCAGAAAACAGTGCAACTTTTCACTGAAACAGTAGGGAAATTAGAGGGTGGGGACTGATGATTATTTTATATACAAAGTTGGGAACTATGGCAACTGAAGTGAAAAGAAAACAAGTCTGCAAAACAGACTACAATGTAAGTCCAGGTTATGAGAATCCAGGGAAAGAAGTAAGGGTAAAAAATATTGTAAGGTAGTGAGTGGGTAGGGTAGATGGGACCCGGGATTGAAGAGCTTGCTCTGGGGAAGTGAGCTAAATTCAGGAGGTGCTAAAGGAGGGGGCTGTTTGTTGAGAGGAAAGCACTGGACAGGAAGCAGCATTTTCAGAATAAGACACAGCATCAGTGAGCATGACAGAATGGAAAACTGGGAAAGTTACTTGTCACAGAGATGAAAAGTACTTCTTTACACAGACAAAGGCCTTGGGCTTATTTCATGAGAAACTGCAGCATATGTTTCCACGGAGGAATCCCCAGCTGCCCTCTAAAAAACATAAGAGGCATGTCAGCGTTCCAGTCCTTTCCTTCAGGCAGATTGCCTATCTGGGCCTCTCAGTTACCTCACAGTAAGATGGAGGGAGGGAATGTGGCACTTGAGGCATTTCCCTTAAGAAGTGGGCCAGGGTAAAGAACAGAAGAGGACAGACCAGAAGGCAAAAAGTCTGGGTTTAGACCTCAGCTCTGCCCATGGGTTTACTGGGTGATTTCTTAGCTCAGAGGAAAATATGAGGAGACTGAGAAATGATGCAAAGATGCCTAGAACTCTAGGCAAATCCCTGAACTTCTCTGAGCCTCAGTCTTGTAATTGGCAAATGAGAATGACACCTACATACCCCACATACTACTGTGAGTTAAGTCATAGGCATGAAATACATTTGCCAAGTGTAACATACTTTGAGGGCATCACATCCTGACCATCACTAACATCATCATTCCCACTGGACTATACCAGAGTCCTACGACGTCACTGATTTCAATAATCCTGGTGCTGTAGGCTGTAGGCCACAGAATGAAGCTTTCACGTTAGGCAAAAGATGAAACTGAAATCAGAAAATGAAAGTGGATGATCACACATTACACTTCTCAGGCTGTTCCAACTCAAACACAACTAACGCACTTTTTTTTTTTTTTGAATGATCTTTCCACCTAAAAAGCACCCCTTCCCCAAATTTCTGCAGGTGCATTTGAATGTGTACCTTTGGGCCCTGCATAAATGCCAACTAACATTTGCCTGTAACTCCCAGGTAACGTCCCTCTTCTAAGCGGCCAAAGTCCCAGTCTTATAATTTACCAAGATGACTTTGAGTTGGAGAAGGCAAAAGGGTCAAATTTTTAGAAATTACCAAATGCTAGTTCTGAAATGACACTAATTCCTGGAGACTCCAAACCTCTCTGTGGTTTGCCATTCATAGTAGGGGCTTATGGAGGTCCGTGATCAATGGAGTTTTAGCTCAGGTCCATCACACAGTGGACCCAGTGGGTCCCTGAAACCAGCCTGTGGTAATTTCCCCAGTTTCAGGATGTACGAGTGGAACAAGATACATGCGGCAACTAGCAGAATCCCCCAAATGAAATCTGCAGTTTGATGATTTAAACTGACAGAAACAAACTTTACATACTATAAGATTTATAAATTCCCTTGTTTGATATAATCTGAAAGTTCTATAAGATTGATGAGAGTTAAAATTATAGCTTCCCAGACGGGGAGAATAGAGAGTGTTATTTGGAGGTAGTAAAGATTTGAGGTAAATTAATCCTTGAGCGCCCACTAGGGTCCAGGCATTATTTTAAAGGCTCAATATATGTAAGCTATCTCACCTCGCTGGCCACTGTTTTAGAGGTGGGAAAACTAAAAGAAAGGTTAAGCGACCTGCCCAAGACCACTGCCATGAGTGGCTGGGTAGGACATGACCCTCTACAGCCAAGTCCTTCAACCAGACAATGCTATCTCCCAGGTTGCAGGGTGCTAAAAGATGCAATTTGATTAAACAGAGGTAGTCTACCTTTGGGATGGTTTTATCATCTTCCCCCCAAGTCCAATAGCCAGGAGATCACAAAATATACTATTTCAAAAAGTGTCCTAGGCCACAGCCCATGAGGAGACAGAGAAAATGGGCGGGGAGGACCAAGCAGGTGTCTCAGTAAAGAGATTTCATTACTTATGGGAATAAGAAGTTTTGAAGTCTCCCCCAAATGTGGCCTGCTCTGTCCAGAAACTTGAAGTAAGCATACTCAGCCATAAGGGTAAGTCAGTATTAGCTGCAGAAAGGTAGGCAGGCAACCTGCTGGAAAAGGATACAAAATGCCTAGGATTTTATAAACCTATTCCCAAATCTCCTCCAGAAGTTAGATTTCCATGCTGTCAATTCCACTGAAACAGTTCATGAGAACACAGTGCTTTTCAGACACCAGAGATGAATCCTTATATTATAAAGGTTTCCAGTGATTAAAGCAGAGTGACTACAGCTACAATAACAAGGAATAGGGTACTGTTCTGCCTGAGGAGCAGAGAAAAGTGGTGAGGATGAGAGACAGGCCGGCTAAGAATTATTGCAAGTGTGGCCCTTGAGCTGTGTCTCCCAGGATGAAGAGAATGAGCAGGCAGCACAGCGGGGTGTGAGCTTGCAGCGAAGGACACAAGTAATCTGGGGTAATCACAGAAGAGATGCAGTAGGAAGTGGGTACAAATCAGGCTGGAGATGAAGATGGAGTCAGGTCATGAGAAACAATGGCAGACGAAAAGGATTTAAACTTCAACTCTAAGAAATAGGAAGTAATAGCAAGTTCTTGATCTATTTTAGCAAAATATACTGCTTGTTGAATCTAAAAAGTCATTGATTTTAAGATATACCATTTAAGTAAGACCTACAGGCTCCTGACGACACCATTATATGCCACTGACTAAGCTGAGTTCTGAGTTCAGAGATGTTAATATGTGAAAGAGCATGTCTGAGAATGAATGAAACGTTCCCTCTGGAGGCATGAGGAGTTGGAGATGGGAAACTAGTGGCCAAGACACTCAAAGGGAGGTTTTGAAAGAAGCAAGGGCTGGCAAGGAAGGGGGCGAGAAAGGGATGGG